GAGCCAGCTTTTGAGACTTTTAAAATGCATATTGGCCTGGTATGGTGGCTCACGCCTATAATCCCAGCACTTTGAGAGGCCAAGGCAGGAGGATTGCTTCAGCCCAGGAGTTCAGACGTGCCTAGACAAAATAGAAAGACCTCATATCTACAAAAATAAAAAAATTAGCTGGGCATGATGGTGTGCACCCATGGTCCTAGCTACTCAGGAGGTTGAGGCAGGAGGCTCACTTGTGCCCAGGAGATCAAAGCCATAGTGAGCTACGATTACACCACTGCATTCCAGTCTGGGCAACATAGTGAGACTCTCTCTCTCAAAAATAATATATATATATAATATAATAATAGTATTATATATATATCTCAATGCATATTATTAAAGAAATTCTGTTTAAGAACTTAGTCAAATTCCTAATCCATCTTTTGATCTATCTTTTGATTTGACCATGACATCTAAACCTGACCAAAATTAAGATACTCAGGACTTACTTCCTGGTATCAAATCAATAGATCTTAAATAGCAAGTACTAAGAAATTAATTATACCTGATATAACACTATATATTCCAGCTTATTGTTCTATAAAATCTTTTCAGTTATTTTTATTCAAAAAAGAACTGCATGCTCCTGCTTGGGGTAATACTTTTTCTTTTAAGGTTTATAATCATTATTAACTAAATACTTAAGTTCTATGGCAAAGAATATCTTGGGCTATTCTAACCATGCAAGGAGTTAAAAGTGTTAAAAGCTCAATGACTAAACTATTTGGAAATCTCAAGAATATAGAACTTAGATTCAAACCAATACATACTATGTTGTATGAATAAGAGAAACTAAGTGAAATGAACATAAAATAATTAAGACATACACAATACAGCAAATTTACAGAGTTAATAACTACTTGTGCCAGGAGACCCTTGAAATTCCTGTCTTGTATGCTGAGGCTTTGAACATTTGCCATGCTACAAATTTTCCTTTACCTGGGAAGAGATGGGATTAATAACCATAACTTGTGTTCCTGAGGGTAGTACTGCAGGGCCCTGGTCGAGCTCAAAGGATAACTTAAACATGTTATGGGGAAAGAAAACAAAGCATAGAGAGTTCTGCAAAATTCTTAAATTGCTATCTGAAAAAATTATGTGTACTTACTACTTCGTAATTTCTTTTCTTTTTTTTATTTTTTAAGAGAAAGTCCAGTTTTTCAGCACCTCAAATGAGAAATGCTGGGGAGTCGAATTATATCACTATCAATAACCTAAGTTACAAAAGGTGGGGTCAAAACATTGCCTTTCTTTTTTTTTTTTTTTTTTAAGTTGGAATCTCACTCTGTCGCCCAGGCTAGAGTGCAGTGGCACACTCATTGTCACCCCAGCATCGACTTGCTGGGCTCCAGCAATCCTTCTGCCTCAGCCTTCCAAGTAGCCGGAACTATAGGCATATACTACCATGCCCAGTTAATTTTTTGATTTAATGTAGAGACAAGGTCTCACCAGGTTGTCTGGGCTGGTCTTGAACACATGGGCTCAGGCAATCCACTTGCCTCAGCCTCCCAAAGTGCTGGGATTCCAGGCTGAGCCATCAAGCCCGGCCCGCCTTCCTTTGATAAAGTTCACAAACTGTGTCCATGAAGGAAAAACATGGATAAACTTCATGCCGACTGTCCCTCCTTAGGTGGAAGGGGCTGTACTGGGCTAGAGGTATTTTAATTTACTAACTTTTGAAATAAAGGAAGAAAGCTCTGACACAGATGACTGGAAAACTCCTTATAAGACAAAAATCTTAGTATTATCTTGGGTTTAAAATAAAAGAGACTGCTGTAAACCTCTTTGACTCATAGTCTCGCTCACAAATATTTACTTCACTGTTTTGTAAAATAACCAGTTAATTATGGCCTGGCAAAGAGAAGGCAGTCTCCTCTGATCTTGACAAGGACTATTTTAGCACTATTTAATCCTAGGATACCACCTGAATGATCTTACCTTTGCAAAAAGACTTCAATATGCCCCATATTAAACTGCAGAAGGTACAATGGGCTGAAATAGAAGCAAAACAAATACATATTGTTAAGAGTTGAATTGTGTTTCCCCCAAAGAGCTATGTTGGAGTCCTAGCCTCCATTGCCTCAGAATATGACCTTATTTGGTGACATGGGGCAATTCATTTAAAGGGAAATCATTATGGTAGACCCTAATCCAGCATGACTGGTGTCCTTATAAAGAGAACTTTGGACACAGACATGCACACAGGGAGAATGCCATATGAACACACAGGCAGAGAAAAGAGTAATGTATCTACAGGCCAAAGAGCATCAAAGATTGGGAGTAGATCACCAGAAGCCAGGGGAGAGGCATGGGAGAACTCTCCCTTATAGCCCTCAGAAGGACCAACCTTCTGAGACACCGTGATCTCAGACCTCTAGCTGCCAGCACCATGAGATAACATATTTCTGTTATTTTATGTTGTTGTTGTTTTTGTTTTGAGTTGGAGTCTCACTCTGTCGCCCGGACTGGAGTGCAGGGGCACATTCCCAGCCACCGCAGCCTCAACCTGCTGGGCTCTGGCAATCTTTCCGCCTCAGCCTTCCAAGTAGCTGGAACTACAGGCGCACGCTACCACACCCGGGTAATTTTTTGATTTATTGTAGAGATGAGGTCTCGCCAAGTTGCTCAGGCGGGTCTCGAACCCGCGGGCTCAGGCAATCCACTCACCTCGACCTCCCAAAGAGTGGGATTACAGGCTGAGCCACAGAGCCCGGCTATATTTCTGTTATTTTAATCACCCAGTGTAGTGCTTTGTTATGGAAGCTTTAGCAAACTAAGACGCATACACTGTATATGTTATTCTGGTGGCAGAATGTGATGCTTTAGAGAACAGGTTCTGGCGTCAGGGAGAATTGCTTCAGTTCCACCTGTGACAGAAAGCAGCTACATAATGCTGTGCAATAGCTTAACTTGTCAAAGCCTGTTATTTTGATCTGTAAAATAAGATAATGCTCTATTTCATAAGGCTATTGGAAAAGAGTATATAATGCATATAAGGCCATTAGCACAATGGTTCATACATGGTGAACCTGCAAATGGTGGTCATTATTCCAATATTTACATACAAACATACCCCTAAGGTGTATATAAATGTACAAACACACAAATACACCCAATGCCTGTGAGACAAATATGAAATCTTTTATTACCATACCAGAAGGTATTACATTATAAATTTATAAATTTATTTTTAAATAGTTTTGATAAATTTTATGGGAAAAGAAGTCAAAGTCATGGGAGGATTCAACCTAAATTTGGTGGTGAGTAAAGGCTTTCCTTAGAAAGACATCTCAGGGCCAGGTACGGTGGCTCATGCCTATAATCCCAGCACTTTGGGAGGCAGAGGTGAGAGGACTGCCTGAGCCCACGGGTTCAAGACCAGCCTGGGCAACTTGGCTAGACCTTGTTTCTATAATAAATAAAAAAATTAGCCAGGTGTGGTAACACATATCTATAGTTCCTGCTACTTGGAAAGCTGAGGCAGAAGGATCGCCTGAGCCCAGCAGGTCGAGGCTGTGATGGCCATGAGTGTGCCACTGCACTCCAGCCTGAGTGACAGAGTGAGACTCTGACTCAAAAAAAAGACATCTCAGGCCAACAGGCCAAAGATAGTTCTAAACATATACAATGGCCCAACAGCAGAAAAGTTCATAACAAAGTTAACAAGAAACCAAAAGAAGGACTGTTAATGGAGCATAGTAAACAAGCAGAAGGGTGGTGGGAGACAAATCAGGTCAGTCAAGCAGGGACCAGATCATGCATACGTTTGTCTCAAGAGTCACAAAGAAGGGTCTTTAGACTTTATACTTAGAGCAAGTATAAGTTAAGGCTTACTTATAAGGCTTTACTTTCTAGTGTGTTAAGAGTGTGTTAGAGTAAAAGGGAAGAGTATAGCAATAATCCAGAGAAAAGATGACAGCACCCTTGGTTACCAGCCAACTCCCTTCCCTTGTAGCCCAGGGTGATCCCAATAGCTTGAAAACCAAGCTTAGCCAAACACGTTCTGACTCTTGTCCCCATCATTTTCTTACATCTATTTCAACAACCCTCCTTCTTATTACTTGATTATTAATGGCTTTAATAGGTTATAGCCAGTATCATTTAGAATAAAAACAGACTTTGTTTCAAATTTATTTTAAATGTTAGTATGTTAATATGCATGTTGGACATTAGGTAAATGAGAATTTGCTGAAATTCCTTTTAGAATACATGAATAAACCAAACTCTAACTCTTACCTTAAGACCATTGGAAGCTGATCAATACTGATGCCCTGTACAAATACTAGATATGCCAGAGAAGCCATTGAGTCGACTAATTGCTTGTCTTCTTCTTCCTCAAATTCAAGGTAATCCCAATTCCTCTTTTTCCTTCCATGTTTAAAAATCATTTTGGGTAAAGGATATCCAACTGCTGATAAAAAACCCTGTGAAATGGAAAAAAAGGAAGCTAGAAAAGACAGACTCTAAGGTGCTTCCCACCCGATATTCACATCCATATTCACACCAAGGAGAGTGTCTTCACTCCCCTTGAGTGTGGGTGGGGCCTGCAGACTTGCTTTTAACTAACAGAATACAACAAAGATGTCTTTACCATGATTTTGTCATCTGTCAAAAGTAAAAGGATTCTTGCACATTAAGGTCCTAAATAAGTTGATTTTGAGTTATTCAGAAAGGAGACTATCCTGGACAGGATGAACTTAATCAGGTGGAGAGTTTTAAAGGTGGTCTAGGCACTCCCTCAAAGTCAGAAACTCACCTTTGCAGGCTTTAAAAAATTAAGCTGCCATGTTACAGGAGGGTCTATGGACAGAACTATGTAGCAAGCGACTACAGGCAGCCTCTAGAAGCTGAAAGCAGTCCCTGGCTGACAGCCAGCAAGAAAATAGAGGCCAGGCCTGGTGGCTCTTGCCTGTAAACCTAGCACCTCACAGAGATGGGAGGATCACTTGAGGACAGGACTTAAAGACCATCCTGGGCAACACAATGAAACCCTGTCTCTACAAAAATATTAGCCAGGCGTGGTAGCGCACACCTTTAGTCCTAGCTACTTGGGAGGTTGAGGCAGAAGGATCATTTAAGACCAGGAGTTTTAGGTTACAGTGAGCTATGATCACACCACTGCACTCCAGCCTGAACAAGAGTAAGACCCTATCTCAAACAAACAAACAAACAAACCAGGGACTCAGTCCTATAGCTTCAAGATGAATTCTATCAACAAACTGAGGAAACCTGGAAGTGGCGTCTGATAAGACTGCCTGCCTAGTCAACAACTGAGCTGCGGCCTGGTGAAATCCTAAGCAGAGGACTCAGTTAAGCTGTGGCCAGACTATGGATCCACAGAAAATGACAGATAACAAGGGTGTGTTGTTTTAAACTGCTAAATCTGTGGAAATTTGTTACACAGTAACAGAAAACTAATTTACAGTCGGTGCAGTGGTTCATGCCTATAATCCCAGCACTTTGGGAGGCTGAGGCGAGAGGACTGCCTGAGCCCACAGGTTCGAGACCAGCCTGGGCAACTTGGCAAGACTTCATCTCTACAATAAATAAAAAAAAAAATTAGCCAGGCGTGGTGGCACATGCCTATGGTTTCAGCTACTTGGAAGGCTGAGGTGGAAGAATCACGTGAGCCCAGCAGGTCGAAGCTGTGTTGGCCATGAGCTTGCCACTGTACTCCAGCCTGGGCAACAGTGAGACTCCGACTCAAAAAGAAAAAGAAAACGGATACAGAAGCCAATGGCAAAACCATATTTTACATGAGCATTTATATATTGGATGTTTCAAAATCAATTCAGAATCATAACTAGAAGCACATATACAAGTTTTGTTGACTGTCAAGTGACCTGACAGCAGATGGAGGAGTCTGAAGTAAACAAAATAAAATATTTTTTACACTAAAAAAATTGTTTTTTGAGTTTTTTTTTAGTTGGAGTCTCACTCTGTCATCCAGACTGGAGTGCAGTGGCCGCCCCCAGCCACCACAGCCTCGACTTGCTGGGCTCCGGCGATCCTTCCGCCTCAGCCTTCCAAGTAACTGGAACTACAGGTGCGTGCTACCATACCTGGCTAATTTTTTATTTATTGTAGAGATGAGATCTCGCCAAGTTGCCCAGGTGGGTCTCGAACCCGCAGGCTCAGGCAAGACACTCACCTCAGCCTCCCAAAGCGCGGGAGGCTCACAGGCTGAGCCACCAAGCCCGGCAAAAATATGTTCTAAAATACTTCAGACATAGAGACAGAAAGTAGAACGGTGGTTGCCAGAGAATGATGGAAAGGGAGAATGGGAAGTTGGGGTTTGACAGATATGGACTTTCAGGGAGAAAGATGAAAAAGTTCTGGAGATGCATACAGTGGTGATGGTTGCACAAAAATGTGAATGTTCTTAAATGCCACAGAACTGTATGTTTTAAAATGTTAAAATGGTACATTTTATGCTGTATGCCATTTACCACAGTTTTTTTTTTAAAGTGCTTCAGAGATATTTGAGAGCAATCTAAAATATGAGACCTACAAATAATATGAAATGAAAGGACATAACTACTCAGAGGAATAACACCCCAGGAACAATGTTCCACTGTCCCCTGTCTACCTAGACAGAGTGGGCTGGAAGAACACTGATCAGCAGGTCTTGAGAAAACAGTGCTGGTGTCTCAGGTCACGTGGGTTCTCATGTTATGAGAGAGAAGCATGCTTGCATGGGTGGATAGGACCACAGAGCTAAATCAAGCTGTCAGCTCAGGAAACACAGGGTCACCCCTCTGCTTCTTATGCCATTTCTAATTCTAGTATACTAGAGAATCCACTGGAATTCACTTTGAGTTTGGCTCTACCACCTACTAGCTGTGTGACACTGGGTAAGTTACCTAACCTCTTGAAGCCTCCGTTTCCTTACCTAGAAAATAACAAGACCTATGTCAAATATTTATTAAGCTGCTCCACAAAAAAGCATAAGAAAGCTAAGGTACAACAAACTACCCTCTAGAAGTTAAAAGGGAATAAATGACAAAGCTAAAGCGGAATGAATACTGACTGTCTACAAACTCATTCTTTCCTTCAATAAACACTTACGTGCCAGGCACTGGGTCTGACACTGTGGGGAATTACAGAGCCAAAGAAGACTTTTCCAGCCTTTGGGGAGTTACAATCTGCTGATCCCAGATGGTTCCATTAGTCATTTCATAACACAAAAGGGAAGCACGGAAATTATCCTCAGTCACAAGAGACTACTACTTAGCTACCAGATGCTAAATTTATACTGCTGTACTGATTTTCAAAGCCACACGTTCTTGTTAGAGCTACAAGGCAAAAAGTTTACTGCACCCTAGTTCCAAATGTCCTTGTGATTATGAGGCTCATTTCTTTATTCAGCAATGCCACATGTGTTTTTTTCCACAGAAGGGTAGCCTTTTTAAACATCGTCATATGTAACCAGAGATTACAGGGTTGCTCTGGATACCTGGGGTCCAACCTGTGTCAAAATCAGGGCTGTCGTGATCTACACACCATCCAGCATCGTGCTCAGACTCAGGCCATACCTGCCACTGTACCATTTCTCAAGATTCATGGCAGCCTCTGTCCTTTCAGGAATCTTCCTATTCTGCCTGCAGCCTATAGGACATTCCAGTAGTTCTCTATCAAAAAAACTTGTGCCAAATTAGAGATGGCTGAGGCCAGTCAATCCCAACCATACCACTTGACCAGTACGTCTCTAGCATTGAACAGAAGACCTCACTTCATCTCCTTCCTGGTCTCACCTCGACTTCTCCAGCATGGAGATGTGTCCTCATTTCATCTCCTACCTGGTCTCCCTCTTGACTGCTTTGTGCTTCCTCACTGCTGGCTCTTTCTACTCGCAATGCTCCTTCCACAGAGATCGTGGGACCTCTCTCCTATGCCCTCAACCTCTTCATAGGATGCTTGCTCTGCCTCACGGCTCTAATTCAATCTGTCTGATTTCTGGTGGAGGCTGCTCATCCTCACACCTTTTATACTAGGAAGCAGGACCCAGAAGGCAGCTGTGGGGCAGGGAGGTATGGGCAGAGGCTTAGTACTGTCTTGGCTCTTTCTGTACTCCTCAACAAGAATACTTCTTGCTGTACAATGTCATACTGTCCTTTTCCAGTATATGCTGACTTCCTGGCCTTTCCCCACATTCACTGAAGACTCTGGCATCTGCTCATGATCTTTTCTCTACCCATCCCCTGTTGTGATCCTGGGAAAGTTGGAGTGTTCATATAGATGATGCCTGTAACAGGCCAGCCTCAGCGTTCTTCATTTAAATGCGAGTGACCTTTACTTTTACTTCCTGTCCGCCCCTAAGCCCATGCTGGAACTCTGCAAACATTTGGACCTATTCCGTGTTAGACACCTTAAACTCCAGTATCCCATTTTCTGACCAAAACCTCTCATCCTCTGTCTCCTACTAATCTGCTTTTCTGCCTCTGACTTCTCCAGCCCTGTAATCTTCATTTTAACCTACCTAGCCATCCCCTTCTTTCCCCAACCAACCTGGATCATGCATTCTTGATCACCAAACGGTACCCTGTATTAACTTTAGCTGCATCTAGCCAGTAAAATGCCAGCCTGGGAAAAAGAACCACAATCCACTTTCTTTACTTCTATACCCAGGCAGTTGAGTACTGCTGGAGAAAATAACTCAAAAGTATAGACTGTTAGCACCACAGCTATGGGCTTGAACCCCAGTTGAGTGCTCAGCTTTACTGACTAATATGTTCATGGTCTCTCACCATCTCTTTCCTGTCCCCTCAATATTCTAAACCTTTACCAGTTTCCTGAAACCCTTAACTCACATTCCTACTTTCTCATTAAGAGATCATCTCTCATCCACCCAGGAATCTGAGGCCAGTGGGTTTGATGTCCCTCAATTATAATATTCCATTCCAGCTACAAATTCTCAACATGTATTCTTACCTACCCATTCCTGCTTCTTCCTTTCCAGGAGTTCTCTCATGTTCTTGGTCCTACGTCCTGATCTGCTCTGAAGCCACATTATTTCTGTTATCCCATAAAGCCTTGTCTTTTTCCCTCTAATGATTTACACTCCATCAGCCTATAAAGACCTCAAGCCTCCCATCCCCTCCCCCATTACCTTCCTACCCTTGGTACTTGCCTTCTAGCTATTGCCTCTCTCCTTCCTTACTCATCTCAACTCTTTTAAAGACACCTCCTTCTTCATTCATTCTTTCATCTACTCCACTATGTTTTTTTTTTTTTCCCACTCTGTGGCCCAGGCCGGAATGCAGTGGCATAATCACAAACACCACAGCCTCAACCTGCTGGGTTCAGGCAATCCTTTTGCCTCAGCCTTCCACGTATCTGGAACTATAGGCGTGTGCCACCACGCCTGGCTAATTTTTTGATTCATTGTAGAGATATCTCACCAAGTTGCCCAGGCTGGTCTCGAACCCCTGAGCTTAGGCAA